GAAAATATATTCCCCCGACACAGGGCTGTCTTTGTCTTTATTGTACAGGGATTTCCGTTTTAGCATCACATTATAAATCTTCCTCTTCCCTGGCTGGCGTAGCTCAGTGGATTGAGCGCGGGCTGGGAACCAAAGTGTCGCAGGTTCGATTCCCAGCCAGGGAACATGCCTGGGTTGCAGGCCACAGCCCCCAGCAACCGCACATTGATGTTTCTCTCTCTTCTCTCTATCTCCCTCCCTTCCCTCTCTAAAAGTAAGTAAATAAAATCTTTAAAAAAAAAAATCTTCCTCTTACGGTCTTTGTGTCTTGTGCCTTGTTGAGGGTTCGCCCCCCGCCCCATGGTAATTTCCACTTCCCCATGGAAGTCTTTAATCTGCCTGAACTGACCGCCTCACATGCTGTGAGTTAAGGACCTGATTTAACCGTTTCCCCGTCTAGATAGCCAAACGTGCCCAGTGGCAAACCCATGCGTCCCCGCTGACTTATAATTGCACCTCTGTCCTCGACCGGGTCCCCATACGGATCCGATTTTAGGTTTTTCTGGTCCTTCCAATTGGCCCACATTCTACTCTGGCCTCAGAGCCCTCCCTTAATTACAGCAGCTCTTTAATAAGTCTTCGTATTCGGAGAGCAACCCTCAACACCACATTCTTTTCCGCTAAAATCCTCTTGTCTGGGTTTGGGCCTTTTCTCCCGCCCGAGAACGTCAGGGTTCTCTACTCATGTTTCGTGAGTTGCCTTGAATGTGTCGATCAGCGTTCGGCGTGGACTGAAAACTCTGTGACATGGTGCCTCCCACCCACGACACCGGTGTCCCGACCCCGATGGCTTCCCTCCACGAACGGCGACCCTGCCGTCACCCCCACGACCGCGCAGCCAATCCGGGGGAGGGCCGAGTGTGGAAGCCCAGACCCCAGCCTATTGCTCTTCCCGCCACCTTGCAGCAGGGCCCTCCGGTGACGGAGGTTCCCCTTCCGTTCTCTCTCCCCGCCACTCCAGACGCGTCGTCACTCACTCCGGCAGCATTCCTGGGTGCCAGCAGGCCCTCGGGCTCAGACTGTGGGTGCAGTGCCCCTCGATGCCTGAAGCAGCAAGAAGCTGTGGGGGCTGCGCGGAGGCCCAGGGCCGACCCTGGGGGGTTAGGTTGGCTCTGAGCCGGGACTGTGGGCCGTGCCGACCGGCAAAGGCCGGAGCTAGGAGCTGGGAGGGAGTCGTGGGAGGGTGCGACCCCGGGGCCAGAGGCTGGGCTGGTGGGAGCCCCCCGACCCACGCTCACCGACCCGCAGGAAACCGACACGCCGAAGCCCGGAGGCTGCTGGGTCATTTATTGCTCAAGCTGACGACGGCCGCCAGGGACGCCGGCACCTACTTCCCACGGCCGCACGCTCGCTCCGTGCAGGCAAGCGACACAGACGCCAGACTGTCATCGGGAGTTTGCTGGGCGACGACCTCAGAGGGAGCGAGGGGACCGTGGCTGACGACCTGGACGCGTCCTGTCTCAAGGCATGCTTGTTTCTGGAACAGGGCGCCGGAGGCGGAGGTCCCAGGGGACCCCGAGGCGGGGCGCTCCCCAGGGCCCTTCCCGGAGCTCCCGAGGTGCCTTCTCCCTTCGGAAACAAGCCCGTCCTCGGACGTGACCTCGCTGTGACCCGACGGCAGCCCGTGCACGTGTGGGAGGGCCTGTCCCCTGGCCCCCGGCTGGAATCGGGGTCTAACTCTCCGCGTGGGCTCTGCCCCCGTTCTCGGAGGCAGGCAGCGGCTCCGCTGGGCCGGCAAGGAGACTGAGGCCCCGAGAACCCGAGAACGAAGGCCGGGGCCACCCCGCTGGGCCACGCTCACCCGGGGACGCCGGCCTGCGGTCCCTCCAGGGCGAGTTTCGATCCCATCGAAAGGAGGAAACGCCTGAAGGTGCCGAGCGCCCAAGGTTCGGCAGCCAAACCGGGGCCTCACCACACCGACCTCTGAGGTTAGGGGACCTGCCGGTGGGGGCCCTGCCTTCGACCCCCCCCGCGCCCGGGCCAAACGTGCTCCGACAGGTGTCTCGCGATGCGGGCAGCCACGGTGCCCTCCCCCGCCCGTGGTCTCCCACACACCAGGACCCGCCGAACCCTGTTCCTCTTTTCCCGCCAGGCCTCCTTTCCGTCCACCCGGGGTCCGCGTCGGGCGGCGCGTGGAGTCCTTTCCTCTGGGGCCACCGGCCTTCCCTGCCCTCCCCACCTGCCTCCGGAACTTTCTGGCCCCCCGGGACCCGACCCGCAGTCCCTGGGGTGGTCGTGGCCGTTATTTCAGGCCCCGGCCCCAGCAGCACAGGTAGGTCTCACCCGTCCATCCCTGACCCGGGCCCCGTCCCCAGACCATGGCCGTGGCCCTCAGCGTGAGGGCGGGGCCTCTTTGCCAGCCCCGAGTCTGTGCCTTCCCCCACACAACCAAGGACCCCCTCCCGGCCGGGACTCCGGAGCAGACGGAAGGAGGCAGTGCACGGTCAGGAGAAAATTCCAGGGGGCCACCCACGTCACAGGCGCGTCCTGGTGAGGCTGTGGGACAGAGAGGTTGCAGTGGCCTGAGCCCGGGAGGAAGTCAGGACGCCAGGGCTCTCGTCCTGGCACTGCCACCGGCTCGGCAGGTGGTGCTGAGGCTGTCTGTGCAAACACCCCTCGCCTCGGGCACCCGCCCTGCAGAGCAGGGGTTCGGGGGGGACTGGGGCCCGCACCTCAGGCTTCTCCATGCCAGAGCCTTCGCACGGGTTATTAGGAGGGGCAGAGGGTGGACGGCGGGGTCGGTAGAGCGCACACGGAGAAGTGCATTCCGGCGCGACGCAGGTCCTCCTGAGCGGGCGCGCACAGCCTCGCTGCGTGGCTGCTGAGTCCCGGGGGCCCGTGGGCGGGGGAGGGCGCCCTGCGGGAGTGGGCGGTGGCGCTGCCGCGCGGCAAAGGAGAGAAAGGCCAGGCTGTCACGGGAGCTTCCCCACGCACGGCTTCGAGCTGTTTTCTATGTGGGTTTCTGCGGCTGGAACATGCCTGTCTACCCGTGGGAGGTTTCCACGAGCCGTGTGTCTGTCTGCTCACGCACGTGACCGGCAGAAGAACATGGACCGGTCACTCGAGGTCCCGCAACCACGCCTGAGCCGATTCGGCTCCAGAGGCAGCCAATCCAGGCTGCGTCCGCTGTGCTGACGCTTCCATTTCCAGAGGTTTCTGCTCAGGGTCCTTTCCTTCCTGACGCCCCCTGGCCTCCTCTTCCTTCCTTCTCTCGGGAGCTCCGCCCGGAGCTGGGCCCATGGGCACCGAGAGACCTACAGGTGCACTTCGCAGGGTCCTCGGGGCCCTGAAATTGCAGGGTGTATGTGCCCCCAGAGACCAGCTTCCCCCTGATCTTCGAAGGGACCCCTGGTCCGCCCCACCCCCCACAATGGCCCCTGACCGAGTGAGCACCTTGTTCGCATGCAGAAACATGACCGGGCGAGAGCGGCGTGGGGACCGGCAGCTCAGCAGAAGGGGCTGACGCCGGCTTCGGGGCGCCCTGGAGCTCGGCCTGCCCGCGGGACTCTGCCGCCAGACGAGTGGCCTCAGTCCCGTGTCCCCCGGTTGCCCACCTCTGGGACACGCGTGTTGTGGGGAGGATGAAACCGCTTCGCCCCTGAGGAGCCCAGCGCGCCGTCAGCGTTGAAAGGAGGGCAGACCGCACGCTCCCCGACCTCCGGGGGCGGGTGCCGGCGCTGCCCCCACACCCCGGGGCCGGGCCGGTCCGGGGACAAACCCCAGCACAGGTCGGCCAGCGGGGCCTCTGCACTGGGTGTCCTGCCGCCTTCGGGAGTTCAACTTCTCCCCCAGAGTGGCCTGCCTGCGGTCCCCCCCTCGACCCCCGAGGCCCCCCAACCCCTGTCCCCGGCTGGCCCTCGGGCCCAGCACCCCCTCAGTGGAGCTGTGGGAGGAGAAGGGCCCCACGCCCACCCGGGGGCGCAGCCTCCAGCTTCCCCCCCCCCTTGCGCCCAGCTCTCCCGGCACCTTTGCAACAAAGCCACTTCCCTGTCCGCGAGGCACCTAGGTCCTGCCTGCACTCCCCCCTCCCCCGACTTTCATTTCCCGTTGCGGCCTCGGGCCACATCCTTCGTGCCAGAAGCAGCTCCCACTTCCGCTAACCTGTGCGCACTTCCCCCCGGCCGGCCTCTGCCCCGGACCTGCGGCGCCCCCGCCTCCAGGCCGCCCCTGCCCCTGCCCCTGCCCCCGCCCCTGCCCCTGCCTCCGGGCTGCTCCTGCCCCTGCTCCTGCCCCCGCCCCCGCCCCCGCCTCCGGGCTGCTCCTGCCCCTGCCCCTGCCCCTGCCCCAGCCCCTGCCCCCGCCTCCGGGCTGCTCCTTCCCCTGCCCCTGCCCCTGCCCCAGCCCCTGCCCCCGCCTCCAGGCTGCCCCTGCCCCTGCCCCTGCCCCCTGCCCCTGCCCCTGCCCCCCCCACCTCCGGGCTGCTCCTGCCCCTGCCCCTGCCCCCCCCTGCCCCTGCCCCCTGCCCCTGCCCCCTGCTCCCGCCCCCTGCCCCTGCCCCCTGCCCCCTGCCCCCTGCCCCAGCCCCCCTGCCCCCCCGCCTCCGGGCTGCTCCTTCCCCTGCCCCTGCCCCCTGCCCCCAGCCCCTGCCCCCCGCCTCCAGGCTGCCCCCTGCCCCTGCCCCCTGCCCCTGCCCCCCACCTCCCGGGCTGCTCCTGCCCCCTGCCCCTGCCCCCCTGCCCCCTGCCCCCTGCCCCCTGCTCCCGCCCCTGCCCCCTGCCCCTGCCCCCCTGCCCCCTGCCCCCCGCCCCCCGCCCCCGCCCCCTGCCCCCTGCTCCCGCCCCTGCTCCCGCCCCTGCCCCCCGCCCCTGCTCCCGCCCCTGCCCCCTGCCCCCCGCCCACGCCCACGCCCACGCCCCCCCCACCCACGCCCCCCGCCCCCGCCCCCCACCCCCCGCCCCTGCCCCTGCTCCCGCTCCCGCACCGAGAGGGCTGCCCGAATGGGGACCGGCCGGGCCGGAGGTCCCTGCCCAACACGCCAAGTGCTGAGGACGCGGAGGCCTGTCCCGTTCCCTGGAGCCGACCCGCTCGTTCCCGCCGCGGAGCAGAAGCGGGACAGGACCCCTCGTGTGGACACCTACACCTACACCATGGTGCCCGGCCTGTTTTCCCCGTTTCCCAGGGAGACGAGACACGGGTCGGTGTTCAAACCCCAGCTGCACCGCCAATCAGCCTGAGCCCGCGACCTCCGTGAGCTCCGGCCCGACGGGCGGGTCAGACGCAGACTGGACTCGAACCCAGGACCAGGCGGGTGTCCGGCGGGCGCTGGGGCCGGCCCCGCCCAGGGCTGCGGGAGGGGGAGAAGTCGGGATTCTTCCCGTCGAGGGTGAGGAAGGAGGGGACGTCGAAGGGGAGCCCCCCCGACCCTGAGGGCTCAGGAGGGCCTCACGAAGTGGGGGTTCTCTGCTGACACTGTGACACATCAACAATAACAACAGCCACAGCCACCTCCGGGGGGCATCCGCTTCGCGGCTGGGGCCCAGCACGCCTGCCCCTTCTCCGGGCCGCGTCCGTTGCCGTCCCGTTCTGCAGAGGCGGACCATGAGGCTGAGGAGACAGCATTCCACCCACAGTCCTGGAGAAGCCCGGTGCGCCGGCGCCACCGTCACCACCGCGGCCCCTCCGGCAGTGTCGTCGTCACTGGCAGGGCCACAGGGACAGCAGCACTGTCAGGCCGCAGGTGTGGCCAGGTGCTGTCATGGGGCGGTGAGCCGGAGGCCGCTCCCTGGCCTGTCAGCTGTCCACCTCCTAAGAGAGCCCCTCAGGGGCACGGCTGCACCTGAGTCCCCGGAGGGAGCCACGGGCAGACGGCAGCCACAAAAAGGGGTCCCCGACCCTGGGCGGCTGCAGCCTGTCTGTGGAATCCGAGGTCTTCCCCAAGGGGAACAAGGCCGTGTCGAGGGGCCCCAGGCTAAGGAGGCAGTGACGCACCGCGAGGGCCTGGGCCGCTCCCCGGGCAGCTGGACACTCCTCAGGACGGGGCAGAACTCGCAAACCCAGTCAGATAGCCGTGCCCGAGCTCCCAGGGTCGCCGACCTGCTCAGTGCCCAGAAGAACACCCAAGGGGCAGGCCTGTTCACGGGGGTCCTGTCCCAGGGTGCTTTGCAAAGTCCGAGTCCTGTGCTCCCTTCCGACAGGAGTGCTCCCCCAGCGCCGGGGTCGACGGGTGGACCGGCCCTTGTCGGGGCCTGGGGTGGCCGGAGCCTGAGGCCCCAGGTGCTCTCAGGTGAGACAGGTTGGGCGGCCCTTCTCAGGAAGAGGGGGTGCGCAGAGGGGCAGGGGGCCGCGCTGTGAGAACCGGGTACCGCCGTCCGTGGCTGCCACGCCCCTGCTCCAACAGGTCTGCGCTCTGCGGCTTCGAAGAGGTTTTTTCCATTTTTGGACTTTCATTTCCTCATCTGTCAGCGAGGGTTCGCAGCGACCACCTTTACCAAGGGTTCGCGAGAAGCAGCGGAGGTGAGATGTGGTGAAGCCGTTAGCGTGCGGTAGGTCCAGAGTGCAGGCACCAGACTGGGCGCCCGCACTGGAGTGACCTGCTACCGGGCTTCTAACCAGAAAACCGCAGGACTGGGGGCCCCGCCACCGTAGCCAGGAAACCCCACCGCCACCACCGAGCTCCGACACAGGCCCAGCAGGGCAAACACGGCAAAGAGAGCCCCCACCCCAGCTCGCGCACGCAAAATCGGGGCGAGGCTCTGAGGGCCCCCAGAGCATCCCGAGGCCTCCGATGCGTGAATCAGGTGCATCTCCCAGGGAAGAGCCGACGTCTAGCTTCCCTCTGCTTCCAGAACCCTGGGCTCCGGACACCCACCTCCTCCGAGGGCTGAAGCCCAGACTGTCAGCCTTGGGTGCTAACAAACTGTTAATGAGCAGCTGGTTCTCTTGCGGTTTCTTACCGCACCCCCTCCTGGCAGGCTCCATCGAATGATTGATAGTCTCCATGGCAACCGCTAACGCTCAGCTCACCTGGATCCCCTGCCCCCACCGCCCAGGGCCCAGCTGGGAGGGGAGCCGGACTGCTGCCCAGTCACTCGGCCCGTTCCGTCCCTGAACAAAGGTTGTTTTGAAACGGCTCCTTCGGTGGTGGCGAGGTGAAGACTTTGTTCCTGAAACCAGGTGCTGAGATGACAAATACTTCCCTTTAACGGTTGGCCTCAACACCCAGGGAACCGTCGGCCGGGCGAGCGTCAGCGTGGTCAGGCGCGCCGAGGCCGGGAAGTACCCTGGCCGGCCACGGCCCCGTGCGCACCCTCTGGACAAGCGTGAGCCAGCGCGCTCCGCCGGGGCTCCACAGGGAGCCCCTGTTCCGCACGGGGCTGCCACGGCACCCCGAGAAGGCCGCCACGGGGTGTCTGGGCCTCCAGAACGCTTGCCCAAAACCAGAGTCGCACAGCCACACGTACCGCTGTCCCCTGCCGGCTGCGGCGGGGGGAGGGGTCCTGCTGAAGTCCCCGTTCCCTGGCCCACAGGTGGCCTCAGGCACCCGCAAGCAGGAGGACCAGGGCGGGGAAATCACGGGCTCCCTCTGGCCGTGAGAGTTCGGAGGGGTGGATCAGGTTTTCCCAGCCTGCGGTCCCCTGCCAGACGCAGGACAATGACTGGAATTGACTTGAAAGAGAAGGGACACAATGCCCTTTCATTCAACTTCAAGGGCACGTTCTTCTGGATTGCAGCCACGCCTGCCAGCCCTCACCTAGGATTCCCCCCCGCCCTGGGGGCACAGGGGACCTGGTGAGCCTCTCCCAGGAGCCCAGGAAAGGGCTTTCGAAACAGGACTAACCTTCAGCAAGGTGAGACGCCTGGCGCCACCATTCATCTTGGCGAGAAAAGGGACCCGCCGGAAGCCGGGCTAGAAACACACTGCAGAGAACGCCACCGGCCGACCGAGTTAATAACGTGGAACCCCGAGGAACAGAGCTGCTCTTCATTCATTCAGCCAGCGGATGGAAGTCTGCTCCCTACAGACGCCGTGGGAGTTGCTGGGACGGGAAAACGAATGACTCTGCGTCCGTGCCCTGGTGGGGCTCGGGGGGCCAAGACAGATGCCAGCCACGTGGGCAATGACCTTCCCTGGGGCCAGCGCCAGGGCAGGGGCAGGGGCTGCTGGCGGGAGAGCCAACCCCTCCCCTCGGGGATTCGAGGGCGGGGGAGTTTGGCCCGATGGAGAAGTGGGGGACGGGATGAGAACAGCTGACACTGAGAGCCCCAAAAGGGGAGTTCCGGCCACCTCTCGAGACCCAACTCCGACCTCCTCAGCACCCAGCTGGAGTGCCGGCCCCTGACACGGGACGACTGTGCACAGGGTCAGTGCTCGGGGGACACCACCCTGAGAGTCTCTAGGGGAGACCCTGAAAGCATCACATTTAAGAGCTAGTCCACATTAGCCAGACTTCGGGTCTTACTCAGCAAGACTCCACCTGGCGCCGTTGCTGCTGCTGATTAAAGCCCACTGCTATTTTAAAAAGTGTACCTATCCCCTTAAAGATCTCTAAGTACATTTCTGTCTTCTAATCAATTAGGGAGTGTTTGCTGAAGGCCTCCCATGTGCCATATCCTGTGTGACATCTATAAATAAGTCTTAAAAAGTGCAACTAAGCAAGAGTGTATCGGTGGCCTTGATCTTCCGGCTTCCCCTTTCATTTCTGTTGGTGTGATACTCAATAAGAAAGTGCAGTTGCTTTTTTTTTTTTTTTTCAAGGAAAGACTTAACCAGTCGTGCTTCTCTGGGGTTTTGTTTTCTGTGCAAAGAGCCCACGTTACTCTAGAAATAAGGGTGAGGACACTGGGCAGGAGAAACAGATGTCGCGGGTGAAAATTGGGGTTTCACCGTCCCCAGAAGCGGAATTACTAATGACCGTCCGAAGTCAGACATGCGTATGCGCCGTTTCCCGTGGGGACAGATTTGAGAGAGCCTGCTGGCCGGTGACACCGGTGAAAAGTTAGCTCCTTCTCAGGCAGCCGGGGCTCAACAGGACAGGGCCTGCACCTCCCTCCCCACCCTCTACCCCCCGCCCTCCGGGGGTGCTCCATGGGAGGGAGGGCCAGCCTGCCGGCGGCTCTGGGACGCTGCCCTGACTCGGTCCCCTCCCCCCCTCTGGGCCGGGTGCTCTCCGGGCACCGCTGTTTTCTTTAAGGGGGACAGAAGAGAAAGAATGCCAAGATTACTGGTGCATTACATGATTGAGAAATGTTTGCCATTTAGAGCCATTCTACTTCCTGCCTGACTCCACAAAGGAGCTTTTCAATAACGCGAGCCTTGGCTTTTTTCTCCGTGTCACCGGGCGCCAGGCTTGCTTCGCCCGGTTTTCGTTTCCAGAGCTGGGCATGACCACGACACACTTGGTTTCCGTTGCTCGAACAACCTGACTCCAAGACGGTCCGTGGGGGGGCAGAAGCGGGTGGGCGGCCAGAGGAGGACACAGAGGAGGGGGCGTGGGTGGGGACGGGCCCCGTGGGAGCAGAGGACGGCCGGCTGGCAGCAGGGCGTCGGGGCCTCGCCCCGCTCTGACGGGGCCGGGCTGCCTGCCAGTTCCCGTGGGAAGCTGACCCCCGGGCTGTGCGGGGACAATGAGCAGTGAACAAGTCCCTGAGCGAGGCCACCCTCCCTCGGCATGCGCCCTGGCTCACCCGGCCCCACGGCAGCGGGCCTGTGACTTTCCCCGGCTAGAGACAAAAGGAGGAGCACATGACGGGCTATGACGTCCCCTAGGACGGTCCCCAAAGCACGGAGAACCCACGCTGAAAGAGTCCAAGCCACTCGGCGGCCGCCGCCGAATCCCAGGTTGTCCGTGCGCCTCACGGAACACCTAGGTTTAGATAACCGCGTACACCGTGCACTTCCACGGGGCCGTGCGGCAACGGTATCCCAACCAAACCCAAGGAGGGAAATGCAAGGGCAGCCCCTGCCCCTTCAGTGCTCACACTCACTACACGTGTCCGAGTTCTCGTCCACTCGGCATCGCAAAGGCCGATGTTGGTGTCTCTCCCTGCCGACGAGGAGCCCGGGGCAGGGGAGGTCGAACGGCTCGGTCTGGGTTAGCGGCTGGTGCAAATACACCTGGTGGGAGTGGACACACATCTGTGCCCCTGGTGCCCAGCCGCGCCACCCCAGGGCTTTCTGGTCGACCCCCCACATGCCCACCTGGAGCAGCGGGGCCGCCTCTCTGCAGGGGCCGACACTGTGCGGGCAGGGGTGACGAAGACGCGGCCAGAACGGTGACCGCCCGCTGGAGCTGTGTCCTCAGACATGGCAGCCCCTCCCGTGCACGGCTGCGGGTGCCTACCATGTGCAGAGTGTGGGTTAGGATGCGTGGGCTGCACGGCACAGAGCAGGTCGCAAAGACATAGTGGGAACACAAGTGGAAAATGCCACATTTTGCCGTGTATACTGCACACCCACATTTTGGGCCCAAACTTTCAGGGAAAAAAATCTTTCATTTTAATTTTTTAATTCAATTTTTTTATCCATCTCTAAAACCGATCTTCATACTTGGGGGTACTATTTTGCTTACAGATATCATTATTACTTTCTAGAGCTACACTTTTAATGCATACGCGTAAACAAAAGAATTTAAAACATTTACGTAGATACAGAATCAGCACTGCCCATGCATAACACACATCCTCATTTTCCCCTCAAAAATTTGGGCAAAAAGTACACATTTTACATGGCAAAATGTGGCATCTCACTCACAGTCTTTCTGTGGGTTACGTGTGGAAATGACATTGTTCATATAGTGGATCAACTCAGATGTAGCTTTAAATTTATTGTCATGTGTTTCTTTTTACTTCTTAAAACGTGTTCGCTGGATCGTTTTAAGCCACGTGCGTGGCTCACGGTAACTCGTGCTGAGGAGTGCCCCGGCCGGGCCCGGAGCTGGTGGGGCTGCCGGCGGGGGTGCGGGGGGCGGAGGCGGGAACGGGAACGCAGGGGGCGGCCGTGGGAAAGCAGGAGACACTCTGCGCCTGGGCCCCAGGAACCCGGGCGGCAAGGTCGAGCCTTCTTAGTGGCGGCCTCGCTGACGGGCCGGTGACTGACCGCACTCCCGGCCTCTGCCAGGGCGACCCAGCGGCCACCTGGCAAAGGCGGAGGGCCTGGGCCAACAGTAGAAAAATGTCGGCGGCAAGAACCCAGGATTCGGTTCTGAACGACAACATCAGTTCAACGTGAGCTTGGCTTTGACCTTGACCTGGACTTCCTGACCCCGAACCTCCCTCTCCCTGAGCAGCAAGAGTTCAAGTCCCACCTGCCGTATTTTCAGGAGCCAGCCCCTCACCGGGGTCTTCCTCGCAGACCCTGACACACACTGGCTGCTGCCTGTTCAGTCGGTTTTCACTCCTCCCCAGCGTCTCCCCAGAAGAATGTGCTTTGGTTTGGAGCGGCCGCAGGCCCAGCCCCGGGGGGTGGGCTGCGACTGGTCTGAGCCAGTCTTGGGAATTCTGCTCCTCGCTACCCAGGCTCTCCAGTGGCAAGGCATGGGGGGGAGGGGGCGTCGCTCAGCCTGGCCACGAAACCAAAGCCAGAGAGTGTTTGGGGGACAGAGTCTGGAAAAGTTTGGGTTTTTTTGATACAACGGACAGAGCGGGGCTCCCGATGTCTCTCCCCGCCCCCACCTCCATCCCGCCCCGAGCGCGGCGGCCGAGGCCACGGCAGTCGTGTTGCCCCGTCAGGGGAACTCCGGGAGCACGGCAGGAGGTCGGCCCTGATGTCCTTGAGCTTCTGAAGCAGGTCTGCAACCTCTTCCCTTGGGTGCCCTTGACCCACGAGGAACGATCAACCCTCTACTTCCTACCACCGCCAACGGACGGACAGACAGACAGGCTGTCCCTTGCAGCCTCCGGCATTCCCTTCTGACAGACAAACCCAGCGTGGAACAGGGAATGCGGCTGGACCCAGACTGAGCCCCCGGAGGTGCGCGGTCACAGCCTGCGCCCGTCTGGGCCCGGAGCCCGTCCCCGCCCGGAAGCCCCCCCACCCCCGCCCCCGCAGCGGGCAGGGCTCCCGGTCCCCAGTGCACCTGTGCGGTGTCTCAGCCGCGCTCCCAGGGGCTTACAGAGGGGGATTCCTCGTTCCAGCATCGACCAGGGGCAGGGTTGCTCTCTCTCCTCAAAAGCTTAAAGCCAAATGTCTGTTGTTTTTCTCTCAAGAGACATGTATCACACACTTCAAGTGTCTGGGAGAGTAGAGTTTAGATGCTCTCACTACCCAAAAAATCCCACGGTGCTGGGAGGGGCAGGCGTGTGAAGGACAGTCATTGTACTGATCATTCCCCAGTCCCTACGTGCATCAGATCACACTACACAGGAACCTTCGCTTCCCCACAGTTGCGCGTCAGCGGGGCCGGGAGAAACAGCAAGCGGTGTTTGGGGGGGGCAGCCTCCCCAGTGCTCTCCTCTCTCCTTCCCCAGCACCCCAAGCCCAGGGGTTTGCAGGCTTCAGGGGGGCACCAGGCCCCTCCCTGGTCTTTAGGAGCAAGTCCTCATTACCCGGGCTGCTTGCGGCAGCAGTCCCCTCCGCGTGGACAGGGCGAGGTAAAGGGATGGGACCTACTTCCGTCCAGCAGGCAGGGGGAGGGAGGGCGTCGGCTGGGGGTCTCCCGGGAGAGGCGAGGCTGCAGAGCCCGCAGGCCAGCCTGAACGGTTCGCCCCGTGAAAGTGCAGGGCAGCTCCCAGTGGCTGGGGCAGGGAGGCGGGCGGGGTGCGGGGGCCGGGGGGAGCTCTGCTGCAGGAAATCATCCGGAGATGCAGCCCCAGCCGCCACATCCTCGACACAGGCCGCAGCGTCAGCTGGGGGCCGAGTCCCCGCTAGCCAAAGAGGGGGAAAGGCTGGCCGGCTCTGCCTTGGCCTGGAAGCACCATCTAACCCTGCGCGCAGCTGCCCCGCCACTGGGCGAGAGCCGTGAGCATGCACAGGTAACACGCTGCTGAGGCCGGGGATTCACGGGAAGCACCGGGACGAAGCTCATGGGTCTGCGTGCACACACGTGTGCGTGTGCGTGTGTAAAAGCCTCATGCACCAGGCTCTCAGGGCCAAGCATGCGAAGGGCATCCATCACCTTCCTTTGGCTAGACTCGGTCACTTGGCCGTGACTGACTCCAGGGGACCGGGAGAGACGCAGTCCCACTGTGTGTCCGGAAAGGAAAGGGAACAGCTGCGATGAAAAACGAAAACACAGAGCTCCAGGTCTGCAATTAGTGAGACCTTCGAAACCGTGGCAGCAGAGCCCAGGTCGAGCGCGGGAGCCCGCAGAGCCCCGGGCTCCGGGCACCTGCGCGGGTTGAACTTGCACTGGGCGACGTCGTAGGGGCTCATCGCATGGCAGGTGGCGCCATCTCTGCCTCCTGGTGGCCGAGGGTCCCTGCGGCCCCTGAGCACCCTGTGCTGTGAGGTCTTCCCCGGGAGCACCCTGAAGCGAGGTACCACGTCGCACCCCCAACCGCACCTAGATATTCCCCAGCGGCTTACAGCATCACTCAGGTTGGTCTGAGTGTGCAGAGAAACCATGGCACACGGAGAACGAAAGCACACGCAGCTCTGAAGGTCCGACGCGGCTCTGAGACAGGCAGCTGAAACCCATTTGGCA